TGGTGGTGATAATGAGACAGGGAGAGGAAAAGGCTAAATCTTCATCTTTTTTTGGAAGTTAATAGATAATGCACAAAACTTAAGAATTAGTAATAGCAATGTAAACCTTTGAGATATTAGAAATGTTAAAGCAAATACTAGAATAATTAGCTTAGAGATGAAAAAGTTTATTTCTGGAGAAGGGGAAATAGAAGAAAGGTGACTGGGGATAGCTGCATTTCTTAATTTACTGCATGGAACTAAATCATCATGTGAATAAATGAAGTTTTAAAAGTCTTACACGTGAATGCTTTTTAAGTGATCACTTGAGCATTATGAGTGTAATGCTGCAGGAAAGTTTCCTGGGTCTATTTTCTCTATTCAGTGTCTGATTCTGTGTGGGTTCAGCTTATCATGTTGGGGTCATTAGTTGTGGGTTTGGCTTTCAGCTTTGTCCAGCAAAGCTAAGGATGGCAAAGAGGATTACTCAAGACTCCACAAGTCAAGAGAGGTGAGAGGAAGGCTAATATGTGGCAAATCAAATAGCTATTTTCTGGTTGAGGAGATTATAGGGAACACATTATACTGCTTTCTGGCTATGCTGAAAACAGCTAACCCATATCTAGTTAATGCATATTTAAGGGTTGGATCCTACCTATGCTCATGAATTACTTAGTTCATGTTATCTATGGAATAACCTATGGTAGGCATGGGCTTGGACTTGAGCCATGGTATAATGGCTGATGATAAATTGTATTTCTTTTTTTAATATTTAATTATTTATTTTGAGAGAGAGAGAGAGAAGAAGAGAGAGAGGGAGGAAAAGAGGGGCAGAGAGAGAGAGGGAAAGGTAGAATCCCAATCAGGCTCCACATTTTTAGCACAGAACGTGACATGGGGCTCGATCTCATGAACCGTGAGGTCGTGACCTGAGCCAAAATCAAGAGTCAGATGCTGAACCAACTCAGCCACCCAGGTGTCCCAAGATTAAATTAAGAAATTCCCATTTATAATAGTATCAAAAGATTAAAGCACTTAGGTTTAAATTTTAAAAGCATTTTATTTATTTAAGTAATCTCTACCCCCAACATGGGACCCGAACTCATGACCCTGAGATCAAGAGTCACTTGCTCCTCTGACTGAGCCATCCAGGAACTCCTTAGTTGTAAATTAGAAGAAAAAGAAAGTCCAACACTTGTACATTGAAAAGTATAAAACATTAATGGAATAAGTTAAAGAAGATCTAAATAAATAGAAGGATAAATGGAAACACATCTTATGTACATGAATTATAAGACTTCATATTATTGATGATAATAGTCACAGAATTGATCTACAGATTTAGTGCCATCTGTACCAAAATTTCAGCTGGCCATTTTCAACAGATTGATGAGGTGATCCTAAAGTCCACATAGAAGACCAAGATAGAAAAAGAAATATTGAAAAAAAGACTCATAATCTTTAATTTCATAATTTACTTCAAAGCTATAATAATCAAGAGAGTGTGGTAATGACATGAAGAAGACAGACATATAGATTAATATAATAGAATTGAGAGTCCAGAAATAAATTTATACATTTATAGCTAATCGATATTTTGTGAGAATGCCAAAACAATTCAATAGGGAAAGAAGAAATGTTTCTGGGACTACTGGACATCCATATGAAGAAGAATGAAGTTGGAGCCCTATATTACACCATATTCAAAAATAAAAACCAAAAAATATAAAGCTCTTGGAAGAAAACATAGGTATAAATCTTCATGACCTTAGATCAGGCAACAGTTTCTGAGATATGACAGCAAAAACACAAGAAATCAAAGGAAATAGACTGATTAGACTTCACAAAATTAAAAATGTTCATGCTTCAAAGGACACTATCAACAAAGTGCCAAAACAATCTAAGGAATGGGAGAAAATACAGCATAGCTAGTATTCAGAATTATACAATAAATTTTTAACTCAAAAATATATATACATATATACACAAAGGGCTGACAGATACATGAAAACACATCATTAATCATTTGAGAAGTGCAAGCCAAACTACAGTGAATGCAAATTAACACCCACAAGGTTGTTTATAATCAAAAAGATAAGTAAGTGTTGGTGAGGATGTGTAGAAATTGTAACTCTCACTCATTGCTGTTGACAATGTAAAATGATACAACTGCTTTGGAAAACAGTTTGGCAGTTTCTGAGCAAGTTAAACATAGAGTTGCCATATGACTCAGCAAGTCCACTGCATATATGTGTGTGTGTGTGTGTGTGTGTGTGTGTGTGTGTGTGTGTGTTCCTAAAAGAGTTGAAAACATGACTGCAGAAAATTTTGTACATAAATGTTAAGAGCAGCACTATTCATAACAGCCAAGGAAATGGAAGTAACTCAAATGTCCATCAACTGATGAATTTATAGAGAAAATGTGGTGTATCCATACAGTCAAACATTATACAGCCATGAAAAAAGAATGAACTACTGATGCATGTTACAACATGGATAAACCTTGAAAACATTATGCTAAGTGTAAGAAGACAGTCACAAATGGTCACATATTGCATGCTTCCAGTTATATGAAATCTATAGAATATACAAATCCATAGAGAGAAAAAAAATTGTGGCTTCTTGGGGGGCAGATTTGGGAGAAGGGGGAAATGACTGCTAACAGTTATAGGATTTTTCTTAGGTGACGGAAATAATCTGGAATAAAACAGCAATGATGGATATACATCTTTGTAGATATATTAAAAACCACTGAATTGTCTACTTTAAAAGGGTAAATTTTATGATATATGAATTATATTTCATAGTTTTTATTTTAAAAATGGAATTGGAGGGGTAAATGACCAACAGAACTTTATCTTTTCCTGGAGAAGTCACTGAAATTTTCTGGATCTAATGCTGTCTTCAAACAATTGCTACTTTAAATAGACTTACCAGCTGGAGGTACAGTTTGTCCTACCTATATGTTTTGTGTGAATATTTCTATTGTGTTTTGGTATCTGAGTTTGGGCTAGGGCTGTAGACCTACTTGAGTTTTATTCACAAGGTTTCCTGGTTATTTACAGGCCTCCTGAGTGCAATTCCTCTCATGATCATCTGGGCTTTATTAGACTGTATGTAATAAATCAAGTAGATCTGTATATTATATGACTTTGGATAAGTTAATTCTTCTTTTTGATCCTTAAGTTCCTTTACAATATCTACTACTCAGGGTTGTGAAGACTAAATGAAATAATGGATTATAAGTATATAGCATACTTCCTGGCCTATTGTAAGCCTCAGTTAATGTTAGCCTCCTCTCTGCTTCTTTACCTTTGGAAAAAAGCACGTTTCTTACAGGTCAGAGGTCACAAACGGTCTAAGCTTCTTGCCCAGGAATAGATTGCCTCTCAATCATGGATGAGGTTTTTTTTTTCTATTTTTCCTGTGTGTCCCTTGCTGTGCCTCTTCTAGTAACTGGCACACTGTAGATGCTCAGTGAATTTGGATTTACCATGACACAGTACAAGCTGTTTCCATGAATTTCCCAGCATGATGTTCAGAGGATTGCAGAGTGTCAGCATTAGTATGTGACAAATGGACATTGTTAGTGCTCCTTTGGGGCTGTGTGACTTCCAGTTGTGCTGAGGCAGAGAGCTTAATTAAGTTGTATTGAGGCAGAGAGCTTAATTAAATTTCATACTTTTATTCTGAGAGAGAGAGATAGAGAGGACTAGAATGCAAGCAGAGGAGGGGCAGAGAGAGAGGGAGAGAGACTCTTAATCAGGCTCCATGTCCAGCACTGAAGAGTCTGTCACAGGGCTTGACCTCATGACACCATGAGATCACGACCTGAGTTGAAATCAAGAGTTAGGCACTTAACTTACTGAGCCACCTGTCGCGACCGGCGCGACAATCACCCGGAGTCAAAGTCTGAAGGGTGGGAATACAGAAAAAAGAAGAGAAAGAAAGTTTACAGGAACAGAGGGTCCCACGGGCTGATAAGCCCAAGTGGCAGCTTTATTGGTACTTTCCAGTACACACAATCTTTTATAATATAGAATATGGATCAGTCATTCTAAAATAATGGAGGTTTCACACGCGATCACACCATGCAAAACAGTTCCTGTATACCTTTGTGGAACCTTGGCAGATGGGTCCTAAGACCTTGTCCCGATGCGTTGCTAGCAACACCAGTTCCCATGTTTGTTTCTATCTGACTTTCAGGGGTAGAAAAAGGAGGTAGTACCTGCCAACACACCTGCCACGGAACCCCAGGCTTCGAGATTAACTTTCTCTCAGCCCAAACAGGCTTTAGGTATGCCACCAGAGAGAGTACAAGAGGAATGGGAGAACCACAGGTTGGCTTGAGTCAACAGGGAACGTTGCTCGACCTGGTCTCAGCCTGGCGCCGGGGCCCGGCCCCCCACAGGCACCCAGGCACATCCTCCTGTAAAGTTTTTGACTCTTGCTTTCCAAGCCACACTTTCCAGGATTGTTTCCTCATTTTAAACATCATCTTTTAACATGCAGTAGTAAAATATTTAAACAATACCAAATAATTCATAATTTATAGAAGCAGTCCAAGGTTCCTATTGCTTTGGAAATGTTTTGCTTATTAGGCTATCTAAATGCATTGTATATGACTTTTAAAGGCATATATTTAGTTCACCATTGTTCCTTATTTCTATTTTTAAAAAATGAATGAGTAGTTAATGCCCATAAAAAAAGAAAGATATTGGAAGAAAGAAAAAGTAACAACTGTACAGAGCCATTTTAAGTGCCATTTTCTGAGCAGCAGCTCCCAGGGCCATCAAATGTACCAATAGGAACTGCCCTGTGTTTAGGTGGAATGGTTTAGGGTTATATTTGAGGTAATCGAAACTGCTGAGACCAATGCAAAAGTAAATTTTCTGTTTATTTGTTCTTTCCAGAGACTAGAAATATGGAGAATGTGACACTGCATCCTTTATTCTCAGTTCTGAGCAGAGTGAATTAAAAACTATAGACATCTTAATCTGTGCTTTCTCTCCCACATCTAGGAACGGAAAAAGAAATTTGAAAAGGATGGTGAAAGATTTTATTCCTTGCTGGATCGGCACTTACATCTGTCTTCCAAAAAGAAAGAATCTCAGTTACAAGAGGTATGTTCAAAAAGCCTGTTCCTACCTTCTGCTGCCAGATATGCCTTGTTAACATTTGTATCTTTCTATTACAAGGTTTTCCTTAATACCCTGCCTCAGCAGGGAACCACTATAATAGTAGTCTTACAGTTAAAACCTTTTGCCTGGGACTGAGGAGTCTTGAGTTCCCAAACTAGCTCCTCCACTCACTAACTGTGTGACTTTTTTGTTGTTGTTCATTTGCTTTTTGGACTTTAGAATAAATAATTTAATATATAAATAATTTTTATGTAAACAATAACATGTAAGTTTGAGAAAATAAAATGTTACCATACAACACTGTTATAGTATCACTGACTATATTCCTTATGCTCTGCCTTTTATTCCTGTGACTTATTCATTCCATAAGTAGAATTCTATCTCTTCAACTCCCCTTCACCCAATTTGTCCATCCTTCTCACCCTCCTTTACTTTGAAAACCATCAGTTTGTTCTCTTTATTTATAGGTCTTATTCTTTTTGTTTACTCATGTTTTGTTTCTTAGATTACACATGTGACTAAAATTATATGGTATTAATTTCTTTCAGTTTGACTTATTTCACTTAGCACAATACCTTCCAGAGCTATCCATATTGTCACAAAGGGCAAGATGTAATCCTTTTTCATGGCTGCATATTATACCAAAATCCACGTCTTCCTTATCCATTCATCTATCAATGAATACTTAGGTTTCTTCCTTATCTTAGCTATTGAAAATAATACTGCAACTATGATAGGGGTGCATGTATCTTTTTGAATTAGTGTTATCATTTTCTTTGCCTAAATACCCAGTAGTAGAATTACTGGGTCATGTGGTAATTCTATTTTTAATTGTTTTAGGAATATTCATGCTGCTTTTCACAGTGGCTGCACCAGTTTGCATCCCACCAATAATACATGAGGGTTTCTTTTTCTTCACATCATCGCCAACACTTGTTATTTCTTGTCTTTCATGGTGTGACTTTGGATAACATATTTTTTTTTCTTTCAAAGGAGGAGTGATATGCAATGATCTCCAGAGTCCCTTTCAGTTCTGTTTTTGATTCCAAAATCCACATGAGGATAAAGTTAGACTAGTACTGTATTTGGTAGATCAGGAGCAGATCTTCTCCTTTTTTCCCCCAAGATATTCTAACATTAACTTTTTTGTATGGGCTTTCAGGGACTTTAGTTCAAATAAATCACTATTCCATGAATGCATACCACATGCCAGGCATTAAGCTGGGTTCAATAGGACTAGAGAGACAATGAGACATACTTCCTGTCCTTCTATAGCTTATAATTGGAATGCTAAAATAAGAATACACATGACACTTAAACAAGTAGCATTTTTTACATACTGTAACATGTATCTGTATGTGGTATCCTTATAGGGGTGGGGAGGTGTTTGGAGAATAAAAAACTTACATTTGGATGTGGAGATTTGCCTTTGTAAAATAATGGGGCCCATTCAATTTGAGGTGGTCATTCAACAAAAAGTGAAGTCTTTGACAGATAGAAATGGAGAAATGGACCTTTCACATGGAGGGCAATGGCCCCAAGAATGGAAAACATGGAGTACGTTTGGGAAATAGTATGACCAGAATTTTCATTACTATTGCAGAGTAGTGAAAGACAAAATATGATCAGGAAAGTTCAGGCTATATTATGGAGTGATAGGCTCAGGAGTTTGTATTGAATTCTATTGGCTCTGGGGAGATTAACAAGACCTTTTGGTTGTATAAGCAATATGAGTGGAATTTTGATTTAGAAATCTTAAACTGTATGAGGTTATAAGATGAATTAGACCTGGGAGAGACCGGGAAACAAACAAACAAACAAAAATCAGTTTAGGAAAGTATTACAATGATCTAGAGGAAAAGGTCTAAGTCACAAGGGTGGCCCTGGAGAAGGGAGGAAAGGAATTAACTGATTAAAACTGCTTTTAATGGAAGAATGGATCTGTGTGTTGGATAATAGATCAAGTAAAAGATAGATATATTGTAGATTCAAGTATAAAAAGAGATATTCAATTGAATAAGGTCATAGACATGAGCTGTGAAATTTCTTAGAAATCATCTTGTCCAAGGTTATATAGATTGTGGCAAAGCTGATATGTGATTTGGTGAGTGTCCATTACATCATGTAAGGTGCTTCAAGGTGATAAATCAGAGCCTCAGTGGTGGATAGAGTTAGTATTGAAAAAGTGAAGGACTACTTTTCTTCCATAAACTGGAATGAAGTACTAGTCTGGGGTCTTCTGTCATTTTTTCTTCTGCATACCTTTGTTTTCTTCCTTTTCCATCTATTTTGTTTTGGGTTCCTAGGTAGAAGAGAGTTAACATAAAAGGCCTGAGTCTACTTTGATTAGGAAAATCTGACTATAAGATTAACTCTTGGCTGGTATCTGGGAACTAGGCTAGTGGGCAGTTTCTTACACAGATATAAAATTTTTCCTAAATGGTAAGAATGACTCACTGTGCCTAGACTGCCTGTACAAACAATATGGTTTATGTTAAATGTCTCATTTTCTTCTGGGAGTCTGGAGTCTTGGTATATGCTCAGCAGCCAGTACCTGTGTACAGGCACTAATAAAAACCTAGGGCACTGAGTCTAAATAGCTTCCCTGGTAGACCATATTGCACATGTGTTGTTATAACTTGTTGCTGAAGGAATTAACTATGTCTTTTGTGACTGTACTAAAGGAACACTCTTGGAAGCTTTCACCTAGTTTCTTCTACACTTCATCCCATGTATTTTTCCCTATGCTGATTTTGCTTTATATCCTTCCACTAAAATAAATCTTAGCCGTGAGTATGACTTTATGCTGGAGTCCTTTGAGTCCTCCTAGTGAATTACCAATTCTCTAGGGGATTGGGACCCTTGGCACAGTCCAAACTTTGTTCTTTTGGAAACTTTTACAATGAAAGCTTCTGGAATGTCCTAGTAGTTTGGTTGCTGTATGTAGAGGTCCCTGGTGACTTTACTAAAGAGCAAGGATACAGCCTTTGAACTTCTTCAATTAAAAATAATCTGAGATTGTATGGAAACCAATTTGACAATAAATTTCATATTTAAAAAATAAATAAACATTAAAAAAATAAAAAAATAATAATCTGGGGGACCTTGGGTCACTTTTTTAATATTAAGAGACTTTATTTTTAGAGCAGTTATAGGTTTACAGAAAAGATGAATTATAAGTACGGAGTTCTCATATATCCCTAATTTGCAGCATACAGTTCCCCCTACTATTAACATTTGCATGAATGATGAGCCAACGCATTATACATCTGGGGGTTTTGACAAATGTATAATGATATAAATGCACCATTACACTATCATGCAGAAAATATGTCACTGCCCAAAATATGTGTGGGCACCACCTGTTCATCCCTCTATCCAGCCACACCCCCCAAACTGCTAGTAACTGTTGATCTTCTTATGGTTTCCATATTTTGCCTATTCCAGAATGTTTTATTGTTGGAATTATACAGCATGTAGCAGTTTCATTTTGGCTTATTTAATTTAGCAGTATTCATTTAAGGTTCTTCTGTGTCTTTTCATGACTTTATAACTCGCTTATTTTTAGTGCTGAATAATACTCCATTGTGTGTATTTACCACAGTTTATCTTTTCACCTATTGAAGGATATCTTGGCTTCCTCTCAACTTTGTGAATTATTAATAAAGCTTATGTAAATATTTGAATGCAGGTTTTTGTGTACATAACTTTGCAAATAATATTGGTAAATACCAAAAAGCACAATTTCTGGATTGTATGGTAAAAGTATATTTAGTTTCTTACAGTTTTTTATAGAAACTTCCATATTGTCTTTCAAAGTGACTACATTTTTTTATTTCTATCATCAATGAATGAAAGTTCTTATTGCTCTTGTTGCTCTCTTTGTCAGCATTTGGTGTTGTCTGTGTTTTGGATTTTAGCCATTCTAATAGGTATGTAGTGATCTCTCATTGTAATCCTCGTTTCTGTAATGACATATTATGTTGAACATCTTTTCATATGCATTTTTGCCATCTGTATATCTCTTTTGGTAAGGTATCTGTTCATATATTTTGCCATTTTTAATTGGATTATTATCGTTTCATTTTAAGAGCTGTTTGTCTATTTTATTTTTATTTTTTTAAAAGATACCCTACTAGGGGCACCTGGGTGGCTCAGTCAGTTAAGCATCCGACTTCGTCTCAGGTCATGATCTTGCAGTTTGTGAGTTGGAGCCCCGTGTCAGGCTCTGTGCTGACAGCTCAGAGCCTGGAGCCTGCTTTGGATTCTGTGTCTCCTTCTGTCTCTGCCACCCCAACCCCCAACTTGTGCTCTGTCTCTCTCTGTCAATCAAAAATAAATAAATGTAAAAAAAAAAAAAGATACCCTACTACTTCTTTGTTTGTTTTATCCTCCCCCCCACGCCCCTTGGGGTAAAAGATATTTATTTCAACTTTCTAGGAGTAAAAAAATAAAATTTTAACTTGGAATTTGTATTGTTTTAAATTTTTCATCAGTTACATATAACACCCAGTGCTCTTCACAACAAATGCCCTCCTTAATGCTCATCACCTATTTAGCCCATCCCCCCACCCACCTCCTCTCCAACAACCCTCAGTTTGTTTTCTGTAGTTAGGATTCTCAACCAACTTAGCCACCCAGGCACCCCCAACCAGTTTTTATAAAGACTTTACCTTAGGAAGTATTTGGGGGGATGAAGTAGATGCTCAGAATCTAGGGCTGGTGTCAGAAACAATGAAGGAAGATTATGATCCTGATTTTCTTATATAATATCTACATTGACCTCTGGATCTTGGAGGCAAAAATAAAGGTGACGCTTTAAAAAGATGTCTCAAGAGTAGGTCCTTTGAATACAAGAAATATGATACTAGAAAACAATATCTGTTTTGTGTTATTTTCTGGGATAAGATTGGTGAGCTATCTGCTAATACTGTTCAAGGGAGCAGCAATTTTTAAATTGCAGGTTGCCACTCATTTAGTAG